GTTGTTTTAAATTAGTTTTTATAATTAAAAATATCACAATCCAAAACAAATAAACTGTTTTTACCCAAGGTTAAGTGTCAAATTTGAGAGATTAATGCAATTTGCTAAAGCAGAACCTACGCTTGATGCACCCATTGCACCAATTTAATTACCACTTTTTAAATATTGAACAAAAAATATATCATTAAATAGTTAATTATAAGAAAAAAATGAAGGAAAAATATGAAATAATAAAATTAATTAATAATAAAAGTAAAAAATTTGAAAATAAAATGATGAGCTAAATTAACAAAGAAAGAAAGAACAAAAAAAGCAAGCACAATAAAAAGAAAAAGAAAAAAGAGCTTTGTTGTTTTAAATTAGTTTTTATAATTAAAAATATCACAATCCAAAACAAATAAACTGTTTTTACCCAAGGTTAAGCGTCAAATTTGAGAGATTAATGCAATTTGCTAAAGCAGAACCTACGCTTGATGCACCCATTGCACCAATTTAATTTTAACTTTTTAAATATTGAAGAAAAAATATATCATTAAATAGTTAATTAGAAGGAAAAAATGAAGAAAAAATTTGAAATAATATGATTAATTAATTGATAATAAAGGCAAAATTTGAAAATAAAATGATGAGCTAAATTAACAAAGAAAGAAAGAACAAAAAAAGCAAGCGCAATAAAAAGAAAAAGAAAAAAGAGCTTTGTTGTTTTAAATTAGTTTTTATAATTAAAAATATCACAATCCAAAACAAATAAACTGTTTTTACCAAAGGACAAGTGTCAAATTTGAGAGATTAATGCAATTTGCTAAAGCAGAACCTAAGCTTGATGCACCCATTGCACCAATTTAATTGATACTTTTTAAATATTGAAGAAAAAATATGTCATTAAATAGTTAATTAGAAGGAAAAAATGAAGAAAAAATTTGAAATAATATGATTAATTAATTGATAATAAAGGCAAAATTTGAAAATAAAATGATGAGCTAAATTAACAAAGAAAGAAAGAACAAAAAAAGCAAGCACAATAAAAAGAAAAAGAAAAAAGAGCTTTGTTGTTTTAAATTAGTTTTTATAATTAAAAATATCACAATCCAAAACAAATAAACTGTTTTTACCGAAGT